GTTGTGTAAAACGACACCGTTTTAATCTTCAGGCTACTGCAAGAAGGGGGAAAAACGACGTTCTTGCAAATTCGTTGTTTTTGATTGTCGTAGATTTGAAAAGCGGCCTGTAGCTATGACAGAGGTACGAGTTCACCTCTCTGCTTGTAATTTTCAATTATTGCGATCCAAGAAAACTGCTTATTTTTTGGTTTTGTAATCGTTTTGGCGGCGAGTTCATTCAAGAAAACAACGTTTGTAGCATCGAAAATTATGTTTTTGATAGTGCCGAGGAGAATCCAATTAGTAAATTCAACTCGAAAGCAATTGAATTGAAGTTTTGTATAAACCTGAAACGGGGCATGAGTAACTTGGTCATGGCCAATGCAGGGTTCCATTTTTTCTTTCAATCAATGGGCATAACTATGTGTAGTGATGGATTTTCTTTCACATGCTTGTGGAAAAATGATGGGTTTGTGCTTGTTTTGGTTTTGTAATGTCGATAATCGTATTGGTGGTGAGTTCATTCAAGAACTAAATAGCGTTTCTAGCTTCGTAAATCTGTGCTTGATATAAGTGTTGAGGAGAAGGCAATTGGTACATTCAACCCAAAAAAGCAATTGTATTGAAGCACTCAAACATTTTAGCTTGCGAGTAGATTGGCCACGGACAATGCAAGATTCCATTTTTCTTTTAATCAATGGGCACAATTATGTGTACTGATGGATATGCTTGCTCGTGCTTACGGGCAAGTGAAAAGATGATAGATTTATTTTAAATAAGATAAAGACACATGCAGCTTACAGATTTGTTAGCAAGTTAATCTTCGTTTTTATTGAAATATTTTTTTTTTTCCATGATGTTCTTGTTCTGAGTCTGTTTCGAATATCCCAACACATTATGTAGCTGTCGTTATCTGAGAAAAAATATTCTCTGTCCCGTTTGCTTATGTTGTTATCCTCAGTACTGGGTAAGTCAGGGGAACAAGTGGTGTGACACATGCAAGATTTTCATATCGAATAATCCAGCCAGCATTAGGAATCATGAGCTCGGTCAACGGCACAAGGATAATGTTTCTAAGAGGCTTAATGACATGCGGGAAGAGAAAGCCGCGAAAGATAAGGCGGAAAAGCAAGCTGCTCGTGTCCTTGAACAAATTGAAGCTGTAAGTAATCACACTTTTCTGAATATATATTTTTGTTCATTAAATTTAAAGTTGACTACACGATTTTTTTTGCTTGCTTTTATGATGTAACCGTGTATTAGATTTTGCTCTTGTGTTAGATCTTTGTTTGGATTTTCTTCAGCTGATTAACCTTGTTAAACATTCCACATTTTTTACAGAAAGCAAAGCGCAGTTATCAGAAAGATTTGGAGAGTTTTAAGGAGGCAAGAGAGACTAATGCACAAGCACTTATTACTGAAGATAAAAATCAAGGAGCTTCTGATGGTTCAGCTATGCCGGGAGGTAACAAAAAAATAGTTTTTTTTTTTTTTTTTTTTTTTTTTTTT